TAAAATGAAGTAAGTTGATAATCTAGGCTGCTTTGGACGCGTAATTGTTATTCAGGCCGATATAAGTTTGTTTATTTTTTATGTCGCCAGACCGTAAAATTATTCCGGGAATATATTAAAGATGTTTTAAAAATCCGGTAAAAAGGAATAGAGGCAAAATGCTAAATATAAAACAAAAATATTTGAATTAAAAAGCAATTTTTTCCTTTAACTGGAGCATAAAGGAAACCGGACTAAAATATTTGCGAAACGGAGAACCGACGAATATAAAAGGCAGTCGAGAGTCAAGTAAGAGAAACTCTTCCTCTTGGATCGATGCTACTCAAGGTATAGATAATGTAAAGGAGTACTCTGCTACTGTTATTGTTGTTATTGTTATTATTGTCGTTGTTGATGGATTTGGAGAACCGAAAGGATTTTTAAAAATGGGAGAGACATGTGGATGAGGGAATTCGGGTGAAGAGATAAAGGAATTCATCACGTCGTAGGAATTCGATTCTTTTCTTTCGGAGTCGAAAAAAAATTTATACGTTCGGGATCAAATACAAATAAATTTATTTTAATAGAGAACGGTAGAAATTTTTTATTGACAAATTTTTTTTACTCTTTTTATGTCTATCTAAAATGTTTTGGAAATTATAAATAATTCTTTTAAGATTTGGAAGGATTAATTGATGATTTTTTTGATTATTAGGTAATCAGAAAACTCGTTTGTGATATATGGCCTTACTGTCTAAATGTCAGATGCAAAAAATAGATAGCTTGTCTTTATATTTACATTGTAATGTAAATTGTATGTAAACGCGCTCATTTAAATAAAATTAGATTAGAAATCGGTAAATCTCTGGTTGAAATTCGACCGCCAGCTAATATTCTGAAGGTTTCTGATATTTTTTTGCGGTTAAATATTCTTATTATTATTAAAATAAAAAATAATTTAATTATTATTTTTATTGACCGTAATTTTAATTGTGGATTAAAGTTCTATCGCTTTGCGATCAAGTTACTAGTGAATCTTAATTCAAGCCAAAGAAGATGGAATGTCCATCCGTTTGGCTTGAATTAAGATTCACTATAGTGAATACCAATTCACTAACCTATACTTGTTTATTTCCCCTTCCCCGTTATTAGCCAAATAAACGTTTTATTACATAGTAATAAAATTTTATTATTATTGAATAAAATTTTCTCTCAGTGTAGTAACTTGATGGCAAGGCGATAGAACTTTAATGTATAATAAAAAATAATAATAATTCTAAAATTTTATTAATATATTTTTCTAATAGAGGACAAAATTCTCTTTAAAATAACTACCCGCATAAGCCTATGATAAAAAAATAGGTACAACTAATATTAAATAACCTAAAGTAATTATTTTTCGGTTTATGACTGTATTTTCTATAGTAAAAAGACTTATTTTACAGTAAAAAATAATTATAAATATGTGAAAAATATAAGAATGTAGAATTAAAAAACTTGTAGGTATTACCATAAAGCCATTCTTTATTAAAACCAAAATATTTTTATCTATGTTCAATGTCATTCTAGATTGAAGATTTTAATTCATATAACTAATTAAATTTTATTTTGTTACTTGATTGATTTAATCTTTTTTAATCAGGTTATTGTCAGTGTCAGACAATAACATCATAAATTTTGATCATTAATTTAATAGCTTCTCTAATGCACGGCAATAATTACTTAATTCAAAATAGTTGATACAAAGAAACGATGTCTTTAATTGAAGAATCTGCTTCTTTGTTAATATTTATTTAATAGCTTTGTTTACAAATTCTGGTTTTTCCATTTTCAATAATTAAGGTTAAGATAGATAAATAAAGTTGAATGATAATAAAAAAAATTTAGTTTCTTACGAAAGATTAAGATTATTGATTAAAAATTGAATAAATCCTTACGATTATCTCAGTTTGCAAAAAAAATTGTTTTTCTTATTCCAGATTTATTTTGTTTTTAAAATTTTGAATTAATTCAGCTATTTCTTTTTATTAAACTAATAATAGAATTTAATAAGAAATTTTCCAAGTTCTTTGTCCTCACTATCATTATTTCTTTGTGTTGATAGTTTTTTTTATCCAATGATTCCCACTGATAACATTAAAGACATTAAATATAACTATATTTTGATTTTTTATAGGAAAAATTGGTTTCCATGTCTGGCAAATATACCTAAACATTTTTCATTATTAATTGTGTAATTACAATCAAAACGACTTATAAAATTAAGTTTCTAAGTAATTATAATTTTACTAGCAATTACTTTAGTTTTGATGGATCTATTGTAATCTAATATTAATAAAAGTTTGGAAAATCTAAAAGTGTATGACTCATAATGCACATTTATTTATGAAATGTTAATAAAATAAAGAATGTGAAGAAAATATATAAAACAGCTAAAATAGCACGATAATTTTTCAGGAAATTTTCTGTAAAATTAGAAAAAATACATCAAAACCCAAATAATAATAATAATAATAATTCATTTTCAACAATCGAATTAAAAAACAAACTAAAATGTTGGAAAATATTGCTGTAGATATTTTTTATTCATTCATATATTCTCTTTGGGTTATTTATTAGTTATTCTATTCAGTGGGTTTTGTTTTAGTTATTCGGCATTTATTTATTACTTTATTTGATCCTTATGCCACTTGGACGCTCGCGATGCGACAGAAATAAATAAAAAGAGAAAAAAAAAAAAGTGAAATAAAATAAAAAAACAATTCCGCGTACAAAAGTGGAATAAAGTACCGGTGGATTGATCCAGTCCGCGTGTCACCAGGGCGTCGTTTATCCAGGATTTAATGCGAAACGCGCGTACCGATTATTGCCGCTCGCCGACAGAGAGTTAACTTTTCTGCGTTAAAGATAAAGCCCAAAACAAAATTCACAAAAGTCAACAATTCCCTTGGCCCTTCTTCCCCTTTGCTACTCACTACTCGGATGCTTCTCGCCGTGGCCATCCGTCACTCTTGACATCGTCCAATCCTTTTTGTCTCTTCCTCCTCTCACCCATCACCCCTCGGTCTTGCCCTCTGCTCTACACTCCTCTCACCTTTTTCATAAAATTTTTGTTTCCAACTTTTCTCCAAACAAAACCTTAACTTTATTAAATTTTATGTTTAACTTCTAAAAAAGATAAACAAATTCATTTATTTCATTATTTTAAACAAGACCAACAAATCTTTTATTTGTTTTAAAAAAATCTTAAGAATTTTAAAATTAAAATCGAATAAAAATTGTCGATATTACAAGCCCGATGATCGATAACTTTCCGATCGATAAATTATCCTCCCTTTCACCCAGAGTCTAAGAGTCAGGCCCCTCCAGATCATCAACCGGTACAGGGTCTTTTTTCTGGGCCCGTTCTACTTTACCAACCTCCTCTCTCCTAAGCAGAACAAAAAAAATACGCAATTGCATAGATCGTATCCGCAGAAAGGAACGCCCTCAGGCCCTCGGGGCGCGAACTTGGGGCCTGAGATCTTTCAACCCGTCCCTGGAGCTATTCTCCGGTTAGGTCCCCAAACCGGTTTTCGATCCCTCTTCTTATCTCGCGAGGATTTGAATGCTTCACTAGGCCGTGCTCGCTTCTCTAGTAAATTTACAGCGTCAACTTCCATATTTATATTATTTACTTATCTATCAAAGAAACTTTTTTAATTCTTCTAATAATTTATACAAACTCATCCCTTTTTAATTTTTATTCAAAAATTAAGTCTTTTTACTTAAATTTTGCATTTTTTTTTAATTAAAATATCCGATTTATTTTTTAAAAATTATTATTATTATTATTCTGTGATATATTTTCTTAATTCTCTTAAAAATTTCCTAAAAAATGAGTACTTACAAGCATTTTTAGACATATGTGAAGTCTAGGTCATATATCACATGTAAAATGTCACATATGATAATAAATTTTTGGTAATTTTAAAATATAGACTTGTGGGTAGTCATTTTAAAGAGAATTTAATCCTCTATTAGAAAAACATATTTAAAAAATTTTATTATGATTATAAATAAATTAAAAAAAAACTTTTAAACAAACCCTAGATAATTAAACGCATAGAATATAAATCAATAAATAAATGCGCAGCATCTTTACCTCGATTTCTTGGTCCTGTGAAGAACCGAGATCGGCCCCTCCACTTAAGCCAGGTCCCTTTCGTAAGACCGCGCTCAGGCTAACAGGTTGCCACGTGCTCGGGGTCTTAGGGGCCCATCGGCTCGGAGTTAGCCGAGCGAGTCCATAGAGAGATCTCCGAGTTTTCCCGAGCGGACTCGGGCCCACTAACGCCCAGTCAGTAACAATCGGTCTTTCGGGCCCGCAAGTCCTTTCCTTGAGCGTCGCGTTTTCTCCTCCGCTTTGTTGTTTGTTTTGGTCCGTAGTGCAGGGCAATAAACCGTTTTTGCTCTTAGTACCCGTCCTGTACCGGAGTTAATGACGTTTTATTTTCATTTATTTCGGCTCCGTTTGTCTAAAAGAGAGGGGCAACAACAAACGGGTGAAATTAAAGGTGAAAGTTACGGATGAAAGGACTGATTGAAAAAGAGTTTGTTGGTTTTTCTTTTTAGCCTTTTTTTGTTTTATTTCGCTCGTTATATTGTTGAAAAGCTCTCGAGCGGTCACCGCTAATAAATATATATACATCATATGTGGAGGTCTCAACTCAGCTCGTCTGAAAGTTTCAATTGCGAGGACGCAAGTTAGACGTGCTTAAATGAAAAGTTGATTCATATGTCGAAGGGTCACATACGACCGGGATTTGCGCAAACGTGCCGCATATGTGGATTACAAAACAGTGAATTTTTCACAAATATTTTAAAATGAAGTTAAAAAAATTTACCTTTTAAGATTGTAAAAAAAAAAATAGAAATATTTTTTTAAAAAAATGTGCGAGTGCGATGAGGAGTGCGATGGCATCGAGTGTCTCCCTAAATGATTGAAGAAGAATCAAGCTCGCTTGGTATAAATAATTGAGATGGCCACTCTCGGTCTCTCAAAGGTTTTTATTTTGGACAAATATTTTACGGAGTTGCAAAAATTTTGGGAAACTGAAAAAAAGCTCCAAGGTAATTTTTTTATTATTATCCTTCCCGTAAAATAATACTCTGGGATTTTAGTGTTTGAAATAAAAATAAAAATAAAAATAAAAATAACAATAAGGTGCAGGTATAAGGTGGAAGGTGGAAGGTATAACTGCCCGGAGTTAGCAACCTGAGAGCTCCTCGGAGAGTGAGATCAGTTTGGCTGAATATTTCTCGACCTTTACTTTACATTTACTTTTTATTATTTTAGCCTGCCTTGTTTCGCGTACCAGCCAGCCGGTACGCTCTTCTTTATCTGCCAGACGGTGCTGGGTACGCAACACTCACAGCGGCTGGGCTACCTGTACCTCTACTGTACTATACTGTACTAAGTACGGGGAATTAATTTCTGTGTGTGTGTGTGTGTGTGTGTGTCGGGAAGAAGAGAGGTGTAGAGAAGAAAAGAGGTTTCGGTGAAGGTACATAGGGTATATCGGTACACTTTGAAGACTCGTTCTCCGGGTGCTCAGCTTCTCGATCTACCTGAGTACCGCTTCTCGCTGGTTAATGTTCATATAATATTATATTATATTGTAAAATGTAATATAATATCATGGACGGAAAAATAAAATTATTTTCTTGATTGAACTTAGGAAACTTTCAATTTTTGGTCTTAATAGAATTATTTTTTTTTTTTTAAATAGATAATTATGGTTTTAATCATTTGAATCTAGAGATTTCACTCTTGCTTTGGAATATTCATTTTTCTTAATTCTAAAAAATCAGAATTAGAAATTTTTAAAAATAAATCAAGAATTGTTATCTCAAAATAAAAATTAAAGAAAATCTTTTTAAAAAGGAAATTTATTGAAAAATCATAAGAGATTTTTTTTGTATAAAATTCTAAAGTTTAAAAATATTTTTTTCTAGTTTAATTAATAAAAAATGAAAATTTTTAATTTTTTGGGACAAAATAAATTTACCTGATAATTTAATAGACAAAGCAGAAATTAAAATAATTATTTTGGAGTGGTTGATGGTAACTCTGACCCTCGATCCCTTCAAAATTATGTTTTCGAGACGAGTATTGTATATTAGGTACTATACATTGTAAATGCATTGAGGATGTTATTGAGACTTTGTAAATTGAGTTTACAGAGTTACTCTTAATTATACTTTGGCCGGCGTGATTTATCCACGGTAATTTAATCATTATTTTCATTCGTTAATTATCAAACTTCTATTTTGATGTTTATTATTTATTCCCGTATAAGTAAACTTCGGCACTTTTATTTGATATTTGTGTTCAGTATTATAATAACATCTTGTGGTTATGATCCTGGTTTAATTTATCAAAAAGAGAGAAGAAGTTAGTTAATTGGTGACAAACTTTTAATTATATTTTAATATGGAAATGTGTAATATTCTGGATCTAAACTAATTGACTTTTGAATGGTTTAAGGAAAATTTTTTTTTATTAAATATAATAAGAGTTTAGGAAAGTAAAATATAAATTGCATGTTAACTACATAAATTTTCAAAACAATAAACATCCAAAAATAACAACAGAGAATAATGAAGTGATTTTATCTATTTAATTAACCCATTAACAACATCGTTTAATCTCAATCATCGTTGTGATATCACATTCCATCAGTAAAGCGATCCTGATCTTGTAAAATGTCCCTCATACTCCCTTCTATCCTTGTCACCCCTTTGATTAAGTTATGAGTTATAAGTTAGTTATGAGTTGTAAGAGTTAGTACTCGGTACTTTGTATTTTGTACTCTGTACTGGGGAGAGATATACCAACATGCGATCAGGAGCAAGAGTACGCGGTCACGAAACCAACTTGTAATAATTACTTTCGCCATTGTACACGTTATATTTTCCCACCGGCCACTCTCTGTCTCTTTCTTTCTAACTGTATTAGCAGACAAACATACGTCATAAGTCATAAGTCATAACATAACATAACATAACATAAAATTCATATTCTTAATATAAGCAGTATGTTTTATTGTTAAAGTAAATATTTATTTATTTAAATTATAAAATTAAAAAAAATTTCTTTTCTATCTACATAATTTTATTCTTGATTTTTTGTATGTAATTTTATTAGCCCGAGGATATTAATTGAAATTTATAAATTTATATTATTAAGAGAATAAGCAAAATTTTGTGGCCAGTGTATACATAATTAAAAAATGACCTTGTATCTTGTAAACTATTGACATTTTTAAAAATATAAGCTCATCCTGATGTTACACTCATCAAGACCTTTCATTTAAGTACCCACATCAATTTTTCATATATTTATATATATATTATATACATGTATATATGAAAAATATATAAAAAATGCATGTGGCTACTCAAATGAAAGCTCTTGATGAGTGTAACATCAGGATGAGCTTATATCTTTAAAAATGTCAATAGTTAAAAAAGTACAGTGCAATTTAACAAAATTCATTATTTAATAAAACAAAATTTTATTTATTATATTGTTTACAAGTCACGGCAGTCACATAGTGACTGCAAGTTTGCTAGTTTTCTTAAAACAAACAATACATTATAGTTATTAAATATTAGCAAATATAATTCACTAAACAATTAATCCAACCAAATACCTACAATTAGTACATAAATAATGAAACTTTATGCTTTAATAGTCTAAGTATAATAGATTCAAGTTAACAAATGCATTGCAGTAAAGCACACCCTGCCTACCAGGATAGCCCTGACGGTTCAGACTACAGTAGATATCACACCCTTCCAGTTAGCAGTATTCATATTAATTTACACACACCCACACACATGTGTTTTATAGATCCAAGTGCGGCAAAGCAAACACATACAGAAGGAACTTGAAGATCATCGGCACGTACAGTACATATAGTAGGGATGCACACCATTCAGATATATCTGTCTGTAAATATATATGATGTGTACTGTACACCATACATACATAATATCTCTTGAAGCTATCTACTACCTCCTGGCCATGAATATCCGTAGCGTAGTGTCAAGAGAACCAAGAGTCCATGAATTTCTTTGCGTATTGCACCACCCTGGTTACCCGTCATATTATATCTGAATTTTCGTCCTTTACTTCCTTCACTGTTATTATTATTATTATTATTTTTTTGAGTTATTATTATTGTATAAGGCAGAGATCTTGTGAATAGAAGCAACCACCAGCAGTCACCGGTCCACTTTGCCACTCTTGGCACTATTATACCCACCTATATACAGAGACGGTGTATTATATTGTATAGAAGAAGATACTTAAACGACACCCGACACCCTCATTCGGTATTTATTGCGCCTTTTATATGTGTAAACGCCTTTCGAGGGAATATTTTAGGAAATAAAATTCCGTGGATGCTTGTAGACATGTGTTGACATCCGCTGGTTTATGTGGTTTATCATTGACACGCTCCATCTTTCTCTACATTCTATATATATTAGTAATACTAGTCACTATGTGACTGCCGTGACTTGTGAGTTAAAAATAAATAAAATTTCGTTTTAATAAATAATAAATTTTGTTAAATTGCACTGTACTTTCTTAAATATTGATATTTTTAAAGATATAAGCTCATCTTGATATTACACTCATCAAGAGCTTTCATTTGAGTACCCACATGCATTTTTGATATATTTTTCATATATACATATATATATATATATATATAATATATATAAATATATGAAAAAATGCATGTGGGTACTCAAATGAAAGGTCTCGATGAGTGTAACATCAGGATGAGCTTATATCTTTAAAAATTTCAATAATTTACGTGATACAAGGTCATTTCTTAATTATGTATCTAGAGATAGAGCAAAAATTTTGCTTATTTTTTTAATATTATAGATTAAATCTCGAAATTTATAAAATAACTCTTCCGCCCTTTAAAAAAAATGTTTTTAAATATGTACAACTTACTAAAAACTTTTTCTTGGAAAAAAAATAATTTACAAATAAAAATAACAAACTAAAAAATAAATAAATCTTTTAAAAATTTATCAATGAAAATATTTAGAGTGGATTTAGTCGCTCAGTCAATTCATAAGTTTCCTTTATGTTATATTACCTCGAGTATGTACGCGATCATGCAGACAAGTTTAAGCCGTGTGAAGCATACATAAGTGCGGAGAATATCCATACACAAAAGAGTAATACCTTTAGGAGTATACATACATGCTTTCGAATAAGACAACTCAAAAAATAACCTGTTTCTTCTCTCTGAGGCTCTCTGAGGCTCTTCTTTTTTTTCACCGGCTCTGTAGGGATAGATATATAGATATAGAGAGACTTGGTTACTTTAATTTCTGGGTACCCGAATATCAACGAAACCCAAACCCGATGTCAGACCCAGGCCCAGGCCTCTTTCTGCCCAGATCTGGTATCGATACCTGTTCGCTCCCGACATAATACGAAGGCTTATTCATCCGATCCCTCCCTTCCATCTTAATTTTTAATATTTTTTATCGGCATATTTTCCTTCATCCCGAGGCACCCGCTATTATCCAAAAATCCGATGGACTGACTATTCTCAATTTACATATTACCAATCGTATATTATTCCTCTTAACCTCTGTCATTATTAAAAATTATAATCAACGAATCTGCACTGTCATTTCATCATTCGTTTTAAAATTTGATAAAATCTCAACCATTAGTCTGGAAAATAATCCAAAGAACTGTTACAAAGAATGAGAAATTTTAAGTATTGTCTCCTTTTTATAAAGAATACAATTTTCTTACGTATTAGTTTTGTCAGAATTTTTGGAAAAAATTATTTCCTATTTTTAGGATCGACAATTTAATTAAAAATGCCGTAAAATTTATTAATTAGTTGATTTTAAAGCCTTGAGTTCAAAAATTTAAATTTATTTGAAAAAAGCCTATTTTTTGATCCTTTTAAACAGCAATTATCTTTTGAACACGTGGTTCGATTTCGATTTTTTTTTGACGGCAATCGACGTAGTTTTTTAAGCCAAACAAACGTATACAAGGTTTCAAGTCGATTGGTCTAAAAATTCAAAAGTTATTCTAAAAAAACTTGATAGTTTGGGAAAAAAAAAAAAAAAAAAAAAAAAAAAAAACACTAATTTTAAAAGCCGGAAATTAATTGTCGAATAAAAAAGAAATACCTGGACAAATTTAATAAACTTTTTGATATCGAAATTAGCTTCCGACATAAACGGATTAATTAATACCCGGAAGCAAGTATTTATTTACGGATATAAAGCTTTGACACTCTATTGTTGATCGACAACAAAAAATAAAACAAAAAAGCGGTAATAATAATAATTCATAATAAGTGAAAGCTAGCTAGTAGATAGCATTACATTATTATTTAAACCGATAATATAGAAGTTGTGGATGTAAATGTAAATGTCATTGCGAAATCCTTGGATTTTACTAAAATTGATGAACACTTATGTGCAATTCTGCAGTGTTCCTCTTTGTAGTTAACTTGTATTATATCGTCTGCACACTTATAGGCGTACTTGTTGTATACGGGAATAGTACTAGGTGTAAGTGTGTAGGTATGTATCTAACATTTTACCATTGGGATTAACGGGACTCAGAAGGGGCTAGAGTTTAATGCGTTTACTTGCAGCACAAAATAGAAATTCCTCTCGTTACTTAAATCGCCTCTGCTCCAAACTCAAGGTACGGCTACGTATACAATACAGTCGAGGTTTCTCTTCTCTCTTCTGTCTATTCAACGTGGATACTCGGAAAATGCGCACAATCTTAAACAAAATAGCTCCATCTACAATACAGTCTATATAAATGTTTGTATGTAAACATTAAACCCTGTAAATGTCTGACCAATTAAGTAAATACCATTTTAAGAATATTTAATTGTAATAAAATTAGGGCGTTTTATTGAATCATTTCTGATTAATATAAATCTAAATATTATGTAAGAATTGTTTTTGGTATTGCTGCATTTTTATCAATTTTTATATCAACACTTTTTTTTTTTTTTTTTAATTAATAAAAAAAATTTTAAAGTTATCTCAAAAAATCTTTTTCTTTGATTTATCATTTTTAAATATCTTCAAACTGCAATAACTTTTGAACGCGTGGCTCAATTTAGATCTTTTTGACGGCATTCGACGCAGTTTTTCAAGCCAAACAAACGTATACATGGTTTTAAATTAGTTGGTCCAAAAATTTAAAAGTTATCTCAAAAAAACCAAAAAAAAAAAATCATTTTCTTTCATTTGTCAATTTAAACTACCTTAAAACTATAATAACTTTTGAACACGTGGTTCAATTTCAATTTTCTTGACGGCAATTGACGCAGTTTTTCAAGCTTAAAAATTGTATACACGGTTTTGAATAGTTTAGTCGAATAACTCAAAAGTTATTCAAAAAAATCTTAATAAACTTAAAATAAAATAAAATGAGCCAAGGAATGATAATTTAAAAACTTTGCAGATGCATCCTCGTCAAACGAAGCCTCGCACCTCCAGCAGCGCCTGAAGACCCTGAGCACAGAACTGGTGACCCTCCGGAACCGGCTGCACGTGAGCCAGCCCGGAAGCAACGGCCCGAACGCGGTGAACGGTACGATAGCCTCTCCGGGCCCAGGATCTGGCTCTGGGACGATAACCGCCAGCGCTTGCGAGAAGCCGCCGACTACAGCGGCACCTGCGGTCCCTCCGCGGAACACTCTGTCTCACGCACACCCGATTGGACACTCTTCCGGGCACAGTGTTACCGCTTCCGCCATTATCCATCCGCATGCCAATCATTCTGCTGCCAACGATCTCGGCCACAACTCCACCACAAACAATTTAATATCTGGTCCGTATATATATATATATGTATACTCATACATTTTAATATATACTCCAACTGTCACTCTGTCCTTGCACCCCCCCACTGCCTCGTTCTACAGCTAGCTCACCAGTTCCTTGTTCCCGGTCTCATTAAAGCTTCATCCCCGATTAATTTCCGCGTTTATAACTCTATTTTCTGTGTATCATCGTCGAGCCTCTCCTCCGACCCCGATTTGTATAGTATGACAGCGTCAGCTAGACTTCTACCCAAAGCCAAAGCATTTTTAATTTATTCCCCACCAGAGATTATTTTTTTTTTTTTAATTAAAATTTTTTTCCCCGCTAACGTTAATTGTCGCTTTTACTTTTAATTGTAATTGTAATTCCATTTTAAGGCTATTGTTAAATGAAATTTCATTTTTTATTCGAGTACAATAAGGATTTTAATTGTAGGTCTCATAATTAAATATTTAGTATTCTATATAATACTTTTAGCAAAACTCACTACGGTAAATTACATTTCAAATTTTTATTGAATTATTCCATTCAAATCTCTTGTTTAATTTATTTTTCTATTAAACATTGATAGAATAATTTTTAATATGGGTCACCATATTTAATATCGACGGTCTAATTAACAATTTGTCTAACTTCTTATTTTTTAGAGGGTGATTTTTTAACATTTTAAAATGGCAATAGTCCAATTATAAATTATTTTAATTATTCAAACCAAAATATTATACCTTTATTAGATATTAATGATTTTTTAAAGTGATAATAAATTTTGAATTGTTTTTTTCGTACAAATAATAGAAGACTCTCTAAAATGGAATTAGACTGCTTGATATAGTTTTGATTTTTCAGTAGATTTTTACAATCATAAAAATTCTAATTATTAATTAAACATAAATTTAAAATTAGATTCCGAAAGATCGAAGCGCCCTGACAATGGATTGGTCTCTTGTGTGACGGCTTTGAGCAGCTTAAGGTCACCCCCGATTTCGCGGATAATCGCGGACGTCAAAGGAAGCGGGAAGCACTTGAACCAACGATGTGTTTCCAAAACGGGCCAAAATTCTTCCCAAAATTCCACGACTCTGGAGGACTTGATCCACCTGCCGGGACCTCTTACCGAGGATGCGGTTCTTAAGTGTCTCCAGGCGCGATTCTGTGCAAAACAGTACCATGTAAGTTATTATCATCATTATATTATTCATATAAAATAACTTTTAATTAATAGGATAAAAATTAAAATTTTGAAATGAGTGTGAGTATACTTATTTTAAAAAGAATTTTATGATCTATAAAATACTATAATACAAATTTCATTATTGTTATTGTATATAGCAATTTTTCTTTGAAACTTAATTTAATTGGACTGGCTCTGGCAAGCTCAGAAGGAGCTAATTGTTAATTCGGAGAATAATGAGGCCTGTTGGCAAGTTTCGAGTTGGTACGCTGCAGGCTGTGTTCACTCTTGGGACCTGAAGTATGCAAACGGAGCACCGAGCCTTAGGGTACCGCCTTTACTTACTTTTCTTACTTCTCACTTATGTACAATTATATGGATATAGATATGTGTGGCCCGAAATAGACCGTTAAACTTAAAACTACACAAATTTTTTTGTATTTTACTATTGAGATCACCATCCAGGTAAAAATCGTGCTTCCATCGTATCCTCTACGTGCTACAGATATAGATACTGATACGGATATGTAGCGTATAGTATATTAGTCTGCAGGTGCCAACCGCGCATTCCTCTAAAGATACTACCTGTCAAGAAAATATTATTGTAACACATGTCGAGGTCAGCTCAAGCTTTACCTTATCTGATTTTTCTGTCTATTGTTATTATTTTTATTAGTTTTTTTTTTTATAATTCTAGTAATTAAATAAATTAGTTAAAAAATGTCAGGTTATTTTTTTTTACAATTGAGAAATTAAAATTACTTTTATCACTTGGGACATTTATAATTTAACTTAATTAATTTAATGTATAGAAATTAAGTTTTGTCATTATTAATTAATTAAAATAGTAAAAAAATAATTCTGTCACAAAGACAAAATTTAATTTAAATCCTGAAGCTGAAATTGATTTTTATTTATAAATAAATCAAGTAATATGATGAATTTAAATTTTAATTAAGAACTTAATTTATATTTAAATATTTAATAATAATATTAAATAAAATTAAATATTAATATTATATATAATATATTAAATATTTGATATTTTTTTAAATTGATAAAAATACTTTTTGATAAATATAATTAAAATAAAAATCGGCTTTTTACAAATGATATAATTTTTTTTACACTGTAATGTTGCTCAGAAAGTAGAATTTTCTTAACAAAGAAGAATTTTGCCTAGGGATAAAAAATAAGAACTGTGACCATGTCTAAGAAAATAACGAGGGATTGAAGCTAAAGTAAGATAAAAAGGTAAAAGGTAAAAATGATTGTAGAATCGAGCCAACTGATGTCTATTCAGCATTCACGTATCACATACAATTCACCCTTGAGGAGTCTAGTGGGCTGTAAAAAAGCTATAAAATGAAAACACGAATAAAAAATAAAAGATAACTGCAGTATGACTACTCTCACAAGCTCATGTCAAAGTTGACGGTTTACTTTCCTACCAGCTAAAGATCTTGACAAGAGATGCTCATGTTGCTCTAGCATCCAAAGTGCCTCGGCATCTAAACCACCAGTTTCTTTTCTCTTGCTCTCTTTCTCTTTCTCTTTCTCTCGCTAGATCTTGCGGTAGCAGCTCACGTGGAAGCGGAATCCCAATTTCTGCGCCATTTTCAAATGCATACTGCATATTACATGCCGCATACTACATTACTGTACAATGTGCAGTACAAGACGCATCAACAGCAGCAACAACAGTTAACAATATTGTAGATTCCCCATCAGGCATCACCCGTCACCCATCAACTCCAGATATTATCCCTTTTTACTTTACTTTACATTTCTTCAGCTAAAAATCAAAATATGATTATCCTTTAAGCTCCGAAGGATATGTTAATATTGTTATTATTGTCAATCTAGTTCACCCTCGGGTGTCTCAACAACTCTTGAAATTTTTTTGATATATAATCAATTAAGATTGATTTAACTTTGAAAAATTATTCTCAGACGAACGTTGGGCCGATTCTGGTGAGCATAAACCCCTACACGGACGTGGGAAACCCACTGACGTTGACGAGCACCCGAACTGTGCCATTGGCACCGCAGCTGAATAAGGTCGTCCAGGAAGCCGTGAGACAACAGTCCGAAACTGGTTACCCGCAGGCCATCATTCTCTCTGGTGAGATTTTATTCTTAATTTTATTGTATTTAATAATAATAGTTTTTTTTTTTCTTCAATATAATTAAGAAATGTCCTTGTATCTCGTGAACTATTGACATTTTTAAAGATATAAGCTCTATATATATATATATATATATATATATATATCAAATATATCAAATATATAAAAAATGCCATGTGGGTACTCAAATGAAAGGTCTCGACGAGTGTAACATCGGGATGAGCTTATATCTTTAAATACATCAATATTTAAGAAATTACAGGGCAATTTTTATATTAAAACATCAAATTTATATATTTAGTGTAACTATAAAAGATTTTAGTTGGTGGAAAGAAATATAAATAAAAAAGGGACGAAATATTTTAAAAGGGATTTTATTTACAGGGACCAGTGGATCGGGGAAAACTTATGCATCGATGCTCTTGCTCAGACAACTCTTTGACGTAGCCGGGGGTGGTCCTGAGACAGATGCTTTTAAGCATCTCGCCGCAGCTTTTACTGTCCTACGCTCCCTTGGCTCCGCTAAGACTGCCACCAATTCTGAAAGCTCTCGAATTGTAAATACTATCTTTTTTTTTTCCTCTCAAATAAAAAAATATTAAAATTAAAATATAAAAAAAAATTATAATAATTTATTTTTAGGGTCATTTTATAGAAGTACAAGTAACTGATGGCGCGTTGTACAGAACTAAAATCCACTGTTACTTTTTGGACCAGACTCGCGTGATTCGCCCGCTACCAGATGAAAAAAATTATCACATTTTTTATCAAATGTTGGCTGGCTTATCCCATGACGAGCGAGGTAATATTTACTTTTATTATAATAATAACTATTAGTAATAATTATAATAAAAAAAATGATTTTTTTAGTGAAATTGCACCTGGAAGGCTACAACCTGAAGAATTTAAGGTACCTTCAACACGGAGACACAAGGCAGGACGAAGCCGAGGACGCAATAAGGTTCCAAGCGTGGAAAGCCTGTCTCGGAGTGCTGGGTATCCCGTTTTTGGACGTGGTGAGAGTATTAGCAGCGGTTTTGATCCTCGGGAACGTGGGATTCACCGACGGACCTGGGGTAGAGGTCACTGTAATCGGGGAAAACGAGCTTTCGTCGGTCGCGGCGCTTCTTGGGGTTCCACCCTCGTCTTTGCTGCGTGGGTTGACTTCAAGGACTCACAATGCCCGAGGCCAGCTGGTCAAATCTGTTTGTGATGCAAATATGGTGAGTTTTTTTGCTGCAAATAATTATTACTTTTTAATATCATTTTAAGAAAATAAAATATCAATTTATTTAAATTTTAATTTAAAAATAATAATAAAATTGATTAATTTCAGTCAAATATGACTCGAGACTCTTTAGCAAAAGCTCTTTATTGCCGAACAGTTGCTACAATAGTCCGTCGCGCAAACAGTTTGAAGAGACTTGGCTCAACTTTGGGTACTCTTTCCTCTGATTCGAACGAATCTGTCCACAATCAAGCGGAAGTTACAAGCCAGCACGCCTCGACAATCGGAAGTTCCGCTGGTAATTAAATTTCCTCTGACAAAATAAAGTACTTTATTTTACGATCAATTAATTAATCAATCAATCAATAAATTAATTATTAATTGTAATTATAAAAAAAAAAGAAAGTAAAAAGGTTAATTGTTGTTGTTGTTGACAAAAGGAGGAACAGGCTCGAGAAGCATGACGGCGCTGAACAACGCGGTTCGGCACGCCACCGACGGGTTCATCGGGATCCTCGACATGTTCGGGTTCGAGGACCCTAAGCCGAGTCAACTGGAGCATCTCTGCATAAATCTCTGCGCAGAGACGATGCAGCACTTTTACAACACCCACATTTTCAAGAGCTCGATCGAGAGCTGCAGAGACGAGGGCATACGCTGCGACGTCGAGGTTGACTATGTTGACAATGTTCCCTGTATCGACCTAATATCTTCCCTAGTAAGTGTTTTATCAATCAAAAATTAATACTGTGCAGATCTGAGCACACATTTACACACACACACACACACACACGTGCTTACGTTTGCGGGCTTTGTTTACTCTTATCGATTCTCACTCACCAACGCAACACGCCTCGACTATTATAAACACATGTGTCACAAATTTATAGCGCACGGGTTTACTCAGCATGCTGGATGTCGAATCTTCGATGCGTGGAACTGCTGAGAGTTACGTTGCTAAAGTTAAAGTGCAGCACAAGCAAAATCCACGATTGTTTGATCCGAGGAGTCTCGACTGTCGGTCTTTTGGTATTCAGCATTTTGCTGGCAAAATTATTTACGACGCTTCTGATTTTCTTGGTATGATTTCATTGTTTACTTTAAACTAGACAACATTATTTGTTATAATTATAATTATTAGTTGTAAGGCATAATTTATTATTTTATAAAAAAATAAAGATGATTACTATTTTTAAGGTCAGATATTAATATTGTCTTTTGCTGCATTCGAAAATTCTCTATCTCTAAATACATAATTAAGAAATGACCTTGTATCTCGTGAACTATTGACATTTTTAAAGATATAAGCTCATCCTGACATTACACTCATCGAGACCTTTCATTTGAGTACCCACATGGCATTTTTCATATATTTTACATATTTATATATATATATATATATATATATATATATATATATATATATATATAAATATGAAAAATGCATGTGGGTGCTCAAATGAAAGCTTTTGATAAGTGTAATGTCGGAATAAGCTTATATCTTAAAAAATTTCAATAACTAAGAACTGACTTTGTATCTCGTGAACTATTGACATTTTTAAAGATATAAGCTCATCCTGATGTTACACTCATTAAGACCTTTTATTTGAGTACCCACATCAATTTTTCATATATTTTATATATGTATATATGAAAAATATATAAAAATGCATGTGGGTACTCAAATGAAAGCTCTTAATGAGTGTGTAACATGAGCTTATATCTTTAAAAACATAAATATTTAAGAAAGTGCAGTGCAATTTAACAAAATTTATTATTTAATAAAGCAAAATTGTATTTATTTATAGGTTGCTAGTAAAATATTTATGAATATGTGAATAATAAATAAAAAAGAATCTTTTAATCTTTTAATTTGTGATTAAAGATACAAACAAAGATATCGTTCCGGATGACCTGGTGGCAGTTTTCTACAAGCATACATGCAATTTCGGATTCGCGACGCATTTGTTCGGCAGCGAATTAAAGGCTTTGTACGCGAGCGATACCGTCCCCCGAGGAGTAAGCTTCAGAATATCCCCGACATCCCACACCGATTTGTTAGTACAATTTATTTTTATTTTTAATAATAATAATAATAATAATAATAATAATAATTATTATTATTACAATACTTTAGAAAGAAAAGAAGCTTATTTTGAGAGAGATTAAAAAATAAAATAAAAAACAGACTTTATTGCAGATTAAACGGCGATGAGCCGATTTCGACACTCACTCAGGACTTCCATACACGTCTCGATAATTTACTGCGTACGCTGGTTCACGCACGCCCACACTTTGTAAGATGCATAAGGAGCAACGCCACAGAAACGCCCTTACATTTAGACAGGAGGGTTGCGATGCGACAAATACGCTCGTTGCAAGTTTTAGAGACTGTTAATTTAATGGCTGGAGGTAAAAAAAATCTCTGTTACTTTTATTTAATCAAACTTTTGAAGAGTTTCCGGAAATAATATTTATATATAAACAGGATATCCACATCGAATGCGTTTTAAAGCATTCAATGCGCGGTACAGACTGATTGCGCCGTTCAAACAGCTGCGACGGTCCGAGGAGCAGGCTGTCGAGGACACTAAACTTATTTTGCAAAATGCACAACAAGTTAAGAGCAAGTTTGGTGCGAGCACCAGTTGGGCACTCGGCAAACGTCATATTTTTTTGAGCGAAGGCATTCGACAGCAGTTGGAAAATTTGAGATCTGAAACTAGACGGAAAGCTGCTACTGTTATTCAGGTTTTTTTTTTTTATCAATTTCTTAACTATTAATCTTATTAGACATTAAAAAATTCAGGTATCAGTAAATGAAACTTTAATTAAATAAATAAAAAGTATTAATTGATAATAATTTTATCAGATTGACTTAAATTGTTTGCTCGTTGAAAAGTCTTACCATCTTTTATTTAATTTAACTAGATAACTTGCTAATTATCATCATCATCATCATCATCACCCTTCGCTCAATTCATTTCTTCCCCTTATTATTTTATCTGGTTATTGAATACTAAAAAATATATACCCCGAGGCTGTCAGAAGTCAGAAGTATTATCTGTTTTCATTTCAATATTTTATTCCCGAATAATTTAAAAACACGATTAATTATATTAAAAGCTTCAATTTATTTCTACAAAATTAAGTTCTCATTGATAATAAAATTTATTTATTTTTAAAGACAACATGGCGGGGCTGGCGCGTAAGAAGAAGATGGCCGGTGAGACGCATCCCCCTCTCTCTGCCCACCGGAATGATTCCCAAGCAGAATCAGCAATCAAACGGGCACCGCAGCGTGACAAATACAAACACGGGAACTCGACCCCGGCCGCAGCCAATTGCAGGAACTCCTCCTCCGGATCCGACGGAAAAATGCGCAGATCAAAAAATGATCCAGCAAACTTGTACACTTTTTGGACTCGACCTTGTATTTATTTTTTTTTTTTAACAATAAATATTTTAATTCACAATTTTACTGTGATTGTATTTAATAATTAATTTTAATGTTTCTTAGGAACGACCGCCGCCAGTGCCACCTAGCAGATCTTACACCGTGACTGGAAACACAAAGTTAGGTTATCCCCAAACTCGTGTCATGAAAATGCCATTTCCCGGTAAGTTTATTGCTTTTTATTTATTTTTAATAATAAATATATTAATATAATATTGTTTATTGAATTTAAATATTTCTTCATTAGAAGAAGGAGAGGGGGAAGTTGTTCTGCTGAAAGGCGAAACGGTGCTTGTTATTGGTGCTTCTCCGCGCCGCGGCCATCTTCTCGTTGAGCACAACAACACGACGCTCCACGTGCCTTATCAGTTCATGGAACTCAAGCCATGTAATATTAACATTTAACTATTATTTATTTAAACTTTTATCGCTATATTAAATTACAAGACTCTTATTATTATTATTTTATTAAGAAAAAAAAATATAGATATATATTATATATAAATGAAGAATTTATTTTGAAAAAATATATACCTTCAAGCGCCAATTAATTGCCATAGGAATTTCTATGTAGTAATTAGATAATAAAGATTACAAGAACTGTCTTCCATTGTTAAGATATCAATTTATAAATTATTATACACTATAATAATAAACTTTATTAATAAACTGCAAATGTTTTTTTTTTTTTTTCTACTTGAGTTATTTATAAAAAAAAATTAAATACAACTCACACATTAGCAGCACTAAAAATATAAACCCTGCATTTAATACCGTGTCAATTTTTCCGAGGTAATAATTCCGGCACTAAGACTTTTATGAGTCTGATAATAATGATTAAATTTAATAAAATAAAAAACCCAATATTTAATTTTATTCTCTATTTATTTAGATTTATTTTCTAACCGGTTCACTGGTATACTTCTGGCTTCTTTTATCGACATCAAAGTTCGTTTGAAATGTGCTTGCAGACTGTGAAACAACTTGAGTGAGATTGCGAGGAACGTTAGGCAGCCAAAGAGCTCGTCCAAGAAAAGGAAAACACAAATAAGAGAAAAAATAAACATTTTTCTTCCAAAAAGACACAATATTTTAAAATACACGTCAACGCGTCAAAAAATTTCATTTAACGGCGTTTCTTATTTGCCGATGGATTTTTTTTGCTCATCGCACCTATTGGAAATATTCCCCGCATGCCTTTTATTATTCATTTTTCTTTCATTCCTTCGATTTAGAGTCCCCTATTCTTCTCCAGATTAAAAAATACCGCTTGTGCCGTTCCGTCAACAAAATGTCGCCGTGGCGCTCTACTTGGGCGCCATCTGTTGGCTCCGGCCGCAACTAAAATTAAATAATCAAGTACTTACAGTAAGAATAAATAATAAAAATAAATTTACCAATAACCAATAATTAATAATTAAAATTGAAGAAAAATGGAGTTGATTAAATAAAGGTAATTTTATTTTCTTCTTTTCTTCTCTCGGTTGAGGCGCTGAGAAAAGCCGAGCAGCGAAATGGGTAAAGCTTTTATTTAAAATGCAAACACAGCCAAGCCAAGTAGTAAGTTTTAACCTCGTAAATTTTATCTTGCTCGTATTACAGTCGACTGGTTCCTTCGATTTGAATACGATCGAGTAGACTCCCCGAGGAATCAGGGTTATGCAAACATTCCTGCCAGTTGATTCGTTTTGCGCGCCCTCTACGACACTACATTTCTTTTCATCCTTCTCAGCCTCCATATATATATATATATATATATATATATATATATATATATATATATGAATACATAATATAAGACTCGTTTGAATCCTGTGAAAGCGTCTTTACCTTTCCGACTTTGGCTGCTATTTTTTTACTCTGCCTTTTTGGATAAGCTGTGTTTTCAATTGCATTAAAGCTTCCAATAAGAAAAACTCCTCTGATTTTCTTATTCCGACACTCTTTGCTTGTATCTATCTATCTATATAACGTTCCTTCGTACTTGGACTTATGGGTGTTATCGAAACGTGGAAAAATATATTAAATAAATATCCTTTTTTTTTTATCTCGAGTCTTTAAAATTTGTCTTTAGATTTTTCTTCATTGTTTCTACGGGGAAAATTCAATTTTTAAAATAAAAAATTTATTCTTAATAATTTAAAAAAAATCTAAAAGTTTGTAATACAGAAAAAAATGTTTGAAAAGTATCAATCAACTCGTAATTCTCAGGAGATAAGTAAGTAAAGATTGGAGCCATGAATCTCGCAGATGACGTTTCCGACTATAAAAGTATCGATAGAGAGTTGACAATGACAATCTCCTGAGGATCTAGAATCTAAAATCTAGGATTTGGGATTTAGAATGTAGAATCTAGGAACTGTTACTAACATTTGATTCCTCGAGTTTATAAGTTTACTTTTCGCTGGATGTCTCGCGAGAGGAAGGCGGAAAAAGTACGCGAGGAGGACTAGAGGATAAGAGGAGCCGGAGTGATTTACGTACCGATTTACCTAACTGGGCAGTGAGTCGAGATCTTTAAGTTTTATAAGGAACCCGCTGCCGCGGTCGAGACGGATCAGAAAAGTTTCAAAGGAGACAGCAATCATAGCCGAGGGATATCGCTTTCTTATGCTGCTGCCGATAAAAATGACAAAGTCTTCAAGTTTTGGTAAGCCTAGAAGGCACTTTGTCCTTTCTGAATTTTTACTCATTTTTTATATTAAAATTTAAAAAGATTTTTTTTTTCATTAAAATAATTAGCCAAGTTAAAAATTCTTCAACCGCAAATAATAAAATTTTATCATCAACATAAACATCTCTCTTAATTGTCTCTAAAGAAACCATATTTCAGAATTTAAACTTCATAATTTTTATCTGTCCGTCAAATATAAACATACATAGATATATATATATGTGTGTTTTTATCATCAAACTCCCAATTGCCGAGTATCTGTCTGACGCTGACGTCATTCCAGTTTATTAATCTCGTAAAAAAATATTATTCGGTTTATGTCGCCGATAAAAAAGTATTGCAATATAATATCTATATATATTTACGCGACATCAAAAATTAATACCTCCTCATTTTTCTATATTTATTATATTTTTACACTTTACTTATATTTTTGCTACTAAGTACCAAATTGTAAAAAAAAAAAAAAAAACTAAATTAGAGGAAAAGGAAAAAAAATAAACGAAATATTAAATTCTAACCACTTGTTCCTTTATTCTATAACGCATACACATTAAACTCTCTCTTAATCTCTAAAAATGGATAACCCATAACCTGTTCGAGTCAAACAATACAAAGTAGTACTAACAACTTGTTTGATCCGCCATTGAGTCGCAGTACAAAAGTTTCTTCAAATTAATCTCATTCCAAAATTCAATTATCAATATTATAAATCATAAATATAACAAATAAATTATTTACACATTTGACATTTAATATTACACAGTACATTTAGCGACGCTGGGTTAATATTATAACTATTAATAACAAACAAAATTAGTGAGATACGCTTCGTTGATATGTAAACTCTACATAATAGATAATTATTTAATTAATAAATAATTTATTTATTTATTGTACCAGACGAGAGTTTATTCGCGAGTAGATCCAACTGCTAATTAATTACTAACATCGCTAACTAATTTAATAACTACCTAGCAGCCCTTCTGATCACGAATATACTCTCTTAAATTTTATTTTCACTTACTAATTATTATTATCATTAATAATTATTTTTTTTTTGCATTCTAGATAATTTATTTTTATTTTACCACATACACATCTTATTATTATTATTATTATTGTTATTATTATTAATATTAATATTATATAGACATTAAACATTCATATACATATAAATTAAATATATTATACATTATTACATGATAGACATACTAGAGAATAATCTTAGCCGTGTAAATTTCTATCAGAGACTCTCATAGAATTAATGTACCGAATTCACTCTTGCGGATATTTATTAGATTGTTAACGAGTATATCTCGTTAACAATCGAGACAGTAATTCCAGTTGGTAGTTTGTAGAGTAGCTTCATTGGTGAGCCCTAGCTATTATCTCGATAATTGGTTGAGACCTATTGAGTAGTTAATTTGTGTTATCGTCCCACTTTGAAACATATTTAATAATTTACACACTTTGTTTTGTTTAACTATTTTTCTATCTAGTTACAAGCTAATTAATAATTAATAATAATAAGTAACACAACGGCTAGAAGATGTTTACATCAACGTTAATTAATTTTAATAATATACTCAACACATCGATAATGTTAGATCATTTAATTACATATTAGTCTTTGTTTGATTGATCGTTTTTGAGAATTTAAATAAATTTAAGGCATGTTTTTTTTTAATTAAATTAATTTTTTTTTTTTTTTTTTTTTTTTTTACTTAGTAGTTACTTTCATTTTGATAATAAGTTTGATCCAAATTAAGCTGAACACATAATATTTGGTAATAAGAGAGGAAATAAAATCCCGTATACATTTTTAAGTTTATATATTATTAGAAAATTATTTAAAAAATTGTAAATTACAATATTGAAAATAGTAAAGGTGTTAAAAATTTTTTCTAGGAAAAAAAATTTAGTTTTATGAAAAATTTTGATAAAATAATTAAATGGAAAAATTTTTTAAAATTTGATTTTCTTTTTCTAAAAAATCAATTATAAAATTATAATTTTTGATTAATTCTCTTTGAAATAAAAAAGAGCGAAACTATTTAAATTTTGATTAAGATTAAAAGGAGAGTTAAGATGAAGAGATATTTATAAAATTTATAAAAAGTAATTTGCGCACCCGATGCTGTGAAAATAAAAATGATTAAAGAGGTTACTGGCGGCCGTTAGAGGTAGTCTTGAGATAAATTTGTCTCGATAGCAGAACCTCAGCTAAAAACAAAGTTAAGTGGAAATAAAAGAGGGATAATAAAATAAAGAAATAGTCTATTTAAAATCTTACCGCTCGTTCTCGAGTACAATTTAAATTACATCAGTTACGCAACTGGAAAATTTAGGACATAGCAATACCACGACAACGGCTATAACAGTTGATGTGTTGCGCACCTGCCGACACATTTTATCCCGGGGCAACTTCGTAAATTTAATTGCGTTAAGGATACCAACCGTATAGCGTACAAAATAACTGGATGCATAATAGGACCCGGTACACTTCTTCCCAGACACACACAATACCGCGAGTTAAATTTCCTCTTACTTACACTCCCAAGATCCTGGAATGCCGAGTTCGGTGTGGAATGTTTAGAAAAAAAAAATATTTAAATAAATAAATATCGCGGAAAAGGGCACGCAGTTTCTATCCAGGACACTGGTAAATTTACCGAGCTAACAGAAATACCAGCAATGTCATTTTTATTTTATTCTCGCCTTTTAATATTTTTTATTTTATTTTATTTTATTTATTACTTTTTTTTTTTTTTTTTTTTATACTCGATTTTATTTTCATAGTAAACTACCCTTTTATTGTTATTTATTTTAACTATGCAGTAACTTTAATTATTTTTTCATGGGAAAATATTTTTTATTCATCGAGGATACGACTCAGATTTTATTGAATTTATTGATAGTAAAATGACTGGCAGTAAAAAAAATTTATCGAAGAATTGAGCATCTGTTTTAAATAAAAATTTTTATTTTTTTTAAATTTTCATTAAAAAAAAATTTAATTAATAAAGCTACTGCACAGTTAAGTTAAAAAATTATTTAAACCAGCAAGCAACAATTTTCCTACAACATCAACAATCAACTCAGAAAGAACCCATTGGTCATACTCAAATAAATTCATCAATTAAACCTCCCCTTCCATATAAAATATATCAATATCGTTTTATTGCTACCCCGCAAACTCAACATTTCTCGACTTTATTATCGTAAATCGCAACCATACTCCGTAATATTTACCTATCAATTACAAATATTTAATTATAATTATAAATACAATTGAAATAGCGCAACTCATCCCCTAATTTAGTAATTAATTAATTATTATTATCAATAAATACAATAGAGTAATATTTACCATTACATAGTCAAACTTATTAGCTAATTAATTAATTAATTAATTAATTAATTTATTTATTTATTTATTTATTTATTTACTTATCAAAGTTCCGGCAGGAGCGCCGTGGATGGCTTCAAGCCGACGATTATTAATTAATTAATAATTAATCGACGACAAGTTATTATATTTTTTATTATTTTATACTTTCTTAGGTTATAAGTCGTTGACTCTGTTGGCTTTGATTGATGCTCTCAATCAATTTATTTATTATTTTTCAACGAGTCCTGAGTAGGGAAGAATTAATAAATTTCTTCTTAATTAATTAAAAATAAATTTTTAGTGAAGAAAGACGCTGGTTACAGACCTCGTGGTGTGCGGGGGAAGATCGGGGACTTCTGCGGAAGCCCCCTCGTACCCCTATGCCGATAATCCGAGGCGATGGATCTTGGCGGAGAGAAAGTTGTGCAGCACGAAGACTATCGGCTTGGGGCAGCTTTCGAGGTCCAGCTCCTTGAGAAAAATGGAAAATAAAAAATCAAAGTTATAAAATTTGTAAAAAAGACTAGAGGTGAATGTGTGCAAGTGTTTCTTCCGTTAAATCCAGCGGATGGAGAAGCGCTCGAGGACTCAACTAAGAGTGGACTCTGGACTCAACTGGACTGTGGACCGTCAATATTTACGTTCCACGATGGCTCTTAGGTTGTATGTGGGTGTGGGCGTGTGTGCAGAGGGTGTTTGGAATGAATGTTCCAAGTGTACAAACACTGTTTACTGTCATGGCAAATAAATACTTGACAAATTTTAGTGCAAATCCTTGTCACAGTCATTGTTGCTTTTTATTCATTAATTATTCTTTTTTATTTAATTTTATTTGTTTGTTTAAAGTTTATTTTTTATTAAAATAAAAATTAAACTGACTTTTTTTGTTAAATTTTAAAACAATAACTAATTTTTTTCCTTATAATTTATTTTATAAATAAATCTAGGAAATTTTTATAAAAAATAAAAGTAGTGACTAATAATAATTTAATGAATAATAATAATTAAATTGCCATTGACAGTCAATAAAACATTGCAAAAAAATCAACAAAGCAGGGAAAGTGATGACATTTAAGCGCTAAACAAAGAGTAGACTCACAATCTCATTTTCGTCATCAATAAAGTCGAGCCAGAGCAATCTGGAGCCATCATCGGCAGACATTCTCAATTTATCGAAGGATCGTTTCCAGAGGGGGGCCGGTGGGGACCCGGGACTGGCTCCGTTGATGCCTCTCGCACCTGCTGCGTAGAGCATAAAACCTTCTTCGGTGTTGACGACCAGTTTGCACGGTCTACCTTGCCATAAACAGCCTGTTTATTTGAACATCTACGTCATTCATCCGCTTACATTATTTATTATTATTATTATTATTATTAATAATTAATTACGTCCTTTATTAACAAATTTAATCGTCAATTTTATTTACATTTGTCCGCCAGTAAATGCCAATAATAAATAAATAAACTGTCTAAGCTGGATTAAAAAACAAAAATCAAATTAACCATGCACAGAATTTTATTAATTTTTATTATTACAGCTCCCGGGCCATCTCATTAATCATTTTTGTCAATATTTTCTCATGTTAATTTTCCGTCAATGTTGTTTTTAGTTATTACGAATTTTCCTCCCGACTTTGATTGATTTAAACTTTCATTTTAAATAAATTTATTTTAATGTCTGTTAAAGTTAAAAAAAAAAAAAATGCTAAATTTTTATTAAATAAAATAAATAAAATGATAATACCGAAAATTTTAAAACGATAAAGTAAAAAATAACTTACGGACAGTGTATTCACGGAGTGACAAAGCAGCGGTGTGACACCCTTGAACGATGGCCCTTGCCCAGGCGACCAAATCCCTCCTGGTTTCGGCCCTCAGGTGGTGCGTAATAACCCCGTCTATGGTGCCGACGCGGACCGCGAATGTCGCGCCGTTAATCGTCCCGCTGTTGCTGCTGCCGCTGGACCCGGGCTCGTTGTTCCTCGTCGAGGAGCCAACCAGTCTGAAACAGGTCAAGTTATAACAGATTAAAATAAAAATAAATCACTCAGATTCAATGTCACCGGTGGAATAATTAAAAAAAGTTTCCCCAAATATGTTATTTTTGTGATTATTTTATGGATCAGTTTCCACTGACAGTCAAAATATTTGGAAGGCAGAGGGCAAAATCGATTATAGAGACAGGGCGAAAGAAGAACTGAAGGTATGAGGTCCGTGGAGAACCATCGAGCTTGAGTAGTCCCTCTGGAGCCCGGCCAATAAACTTGTTATTCCTGCCCGTATTTGTATGAACGTATATGCACACACACCCCCTTGTATTTTCTTTCTCTCTCTCTCTCTCTCTCTCTCTCTCTCCATGCTACAGATAAAACTTTCTGCTAAGCAAAATCATTGGGTAAATTATCATTAAACTTAATCTACGGCCACCGATGTAACATAATAATAATAATAATAATAATAATAATAGTAATTGCGCATTTGCTATTTTTAACCCTTAATTGCATTTATTGCCCATAATCTCGGTAAGTACCCGCGAGCTTTGTTATCAACCCGCGGTTTATTACAAATTATATTTTTTTATCGTTTATTTTATTATTTAACAAACAGATCCCGGGAATTTGCACTTTACACTCTGTAATATTACACTAGTAATTGTAGTCAGTGATATTATTTTTCTGTGAGATAATTTTCATGTTAAAAAATTATTAATTTTTCACATTTATTATTTTTTACTTTAATAATATGATATTTAAAATTTATAGTATTTTTTTACATTTTATTTGTGAACTATAAATAAACAAAATTTTGCTTTATTAAATAATGACTTTTGTTAAATTGAACTGTACTTTCTTAAAAATTGACGTTTTTAAAGATATAAGCTCATCCTAAGCTTACATTCATCAAGAGCTTTCATTTGATTACCCACATGCATTTTTGATATATATTTTATATATTCATATATAATATATATGTATATATGAAATATATGAAAAATTGATGTGGGTACTCAAATGAAAGGTCTTGATGAGTGTAACATCGGGATGAGCTTATATCTTTAAAAATGTCAATAGTTCACGCGATACAAGATCATTTCTTAATTATGTATCTAGAGATAGAGTATTTTCGAATGCAGCCTAAATACTTATCATAATAAATTGACTATCGGTGAGAATGATATGAATCCTTGAAAAGACACAAATTCAAATCATAATTATCCTGGACACAACATTATTTTTATTCTGTTAATAATTTAAAAAAAAAACAATTGTAATTAAATCAGAATGACTGTTATTTAAAAATAAATTTTTTTTTCGTGTAAATTTAAGTTAATTTATCGGCTTCATATATTAAAGTGATTTCCCGACATAAACTTGAGCAATAATTATCCCTAAAAAAAGAATAAATAAAAAAACAGAAATAAATATCGAAGCACATCTGTACTGCGCGTTGAATTGTCAGATTGATTTACGTCTCAATATTATATACAGATGCACAAGCCGTTAAACACTCGACGACGTTGAAAATCTGCCGCGCGATTATTAAAAAATTTTCCGCACTGGCGGGCGTTATTGCGCCATTAAGTCCAACGAGAATTTATTTTTATTTAGCTTTCAATCTCCACTGGATCCCCCTTTATTCCCGGGCCGCCTTTACGGCTCCTGCAACTCCAAACTGCAATATTATATATACTCTATAGAAGAATAATTAAAGGGGAATAACTATCTGGTCTCTCCTCTCGATTACTCTCGGTCATAACAAAGAGAATTTGGAATAAATTTTAATTTAAAATCTAAAATATAAAAAAAACAATAAACTTTTATTTTGATTCCCCTGTTCCTCTATTCCTCTCTCGATTCTCTCGAGCCCCTTTCCAACATATTTCGTTTTAAAGGCAATAACTTTTTATCACCCCGTAGTTTGTGCCCGCATTGAGTTCCTAAACAACTCACCCCTCAAGGAATTTTATCTTCATTTTCATTAGACCGGCAGGCGAACCGGAAGTGATTTGCGGTGGAAAATTTTTTTCTCGAGCCATCCTCCCACTGATAATTTCTTAACTTTTTTCCTGCCAATAGTCCGACTACTGAATCACTTGCAAGAACAATCGATAACCATTTACTTGACCTCCTTTTCCAAGACTCCCTTATTTTTATTTTTTCCTTTTTAGTTTTTCGTAACTCAGATAAATTTCCAATTCTCTATTTTATTTATTACCTCACTGAGTACTAGTGCAAGTCTGTATTCTCTGGTGTGTGATTTATTCCGTAAAACAATTTCATTTATTTAGAAAAAAATAATCTTTTATTCAAAAGGTAAAAATTTTTATCGCTCAAACAATTAGTTTTATTTTTATTAAAACTTAAAAATTTTTTTTTTTATAAAAAATAATTTCTTAAATATTACTAGCCAATTAAATTGCACTGTACTTTCTTAAATATTGACATTTTTAAAAATATAAGCTCATCCCGATGTTACACTCATCAAGAGCTTCCATTTAAGTACCCACATGATTTTTTGATATATTTTTCATATATACATAAATATAATATATATAAATATATGAAATATATATGAAAAATTGATGTGGGTACTCAAATGAAAGCTCTTGATGAGTGTAACATCAGGATGAGCTTATAT